AGGCTGAGCCTTGTGTTGTCGTGCTAGTCTTGTCGCTGAGCAGTCTAGCCGTCATGTCGGTTCAGTTACCGTGCCCATCTAGTTGCCGCGTCAGACCAGCTGTCGTGCCAGTCTTGTCGCCGAGCAATCTAACTGCCATGCTGGTCTAGTCACCATGCCAATCTAGATGTCGCGCCAGACCAGCCATCGCGCTAGTCTCGCCACTGTGCTAGCCTAGCCGCCCGTTCAAACTTCTTCACCCTCTTTCACTTCTCTTCTCTCTTTTCTTCTCTCATTCTTTTTCGTCTCTTCTCCCTTTGGAAGGTTTAGCGAGAGCCAAACAAACCTTCACTCTCTCTTATCCCTTTTTCCTCTTCCTCTCTCTAAAATTAATACTTTCTCTAAAGGATCGGGTGAAAGCCAAACCAGCTTTTGTTCCTCTTTTCCTCTTTCTGTGAAGGATCTGGGTGAAAGCCAAACCAGCCTTCGTTCATCTTTTCTCTCTCTTTTTTCAAAAATACATTTTTATCTCTGAAGGATCTGGGTAAAAAACAAACCAGCCTTCGTCTCTCTTTTCCTGAAGGATCTAGGTGAAAAACAGACCAGCCGTCGTCTCTCTTGTCCCTCTTTCTCTGAAGGATCTGGGTGAAAAATAAACCAGCCTTCATATCCCTTTTTCTTCCTTCTCTGAAGAGCTGGGTGAAAGTCAAACCAGTCTTCGTCTCTCTTTTCTTTCTCTACTTTTCTTCTTCTTTCTCTGAAGAGTTGGGTGAAGCCAAACCAACTTTCGTCTCTTTTTCTCTCTCTATCCTCCTCTCTTTCTTTCCCTTCTCTCTAATATTCTCTTCTCTCTAATGTCACTTCTCCATCTAAACCCTTTTCCCTTTTTTCTTTACTGTAAAATATGTACTACGAGTCCCTCGTCAAGGAGACGCCGTAAGGCTGTCAAATTGACGCAGACTCCATTATGTTAATTCTTCTATTTTCCTTTGAGTACACAGGTACGTGTGCGCTCATCCTATGACAAGGTGGGTCCCTCAGAAGCACTTGTTTATATTCTAATGTGTGTGTGTGGTAGCAGGTAAGAAGAAACAGGTTAAGGGAGGTGATTCCGAATCGGCTATAGGCTAGGGGCATTCTACGTTATCTAAGAGGGCGCCCATGCGAGCTAGCCCGAGCGTGTCACAGACCCATGTGAGGTAAGTCCCGCCTCACGACCCATATTCCTCTCTCACCAGTTGGTATTCCTATCCGCATCTCCTTTACACGGTTCACGAGAGAGCTGTCTCAGGTCCTGGATCCATCTTGAACCCAGAGCCATGCCACCAGGTCATCCCGATCTAAAGAGCGAGATCAAGATATCTAACCAATACTATCTAATGAATTTAAGGCAATATCAGTAGCAGACATTGAACATGTTGGGGTGGGCAAAATTGCATGAATAAACTTCTTGCATCCAAATTGTGGAGATATTCCTTTCTCATCCTCAACAAAAAGTGTCGGTATGCTACCTTTTGGAAGTTCAACACTCTCATCCCGTGAAAGAAGGTCAACCATCTGTTCCCATTACTTTATCCTCTCTCATCCCATTATGGTATCTCCTTACTTCTGTTTTATCTCCCTTTGTATAAAGCTTGCCAAGGAGAAAGTGAAAAAGACGATGCACTCTTTGTAGTTTTCAAAGCCTCAGAAATGAAGATTTTATTTTATTTTTTGTTAATTGGTATTTTTTTTTGAGACCTACAACTGGATTTGAACCCCACCTCTAAATCCACGTCTGAAAAATGACCTTTGAAAATGGACTATTTGCCCTATTTGAAAAACTAACCCTCTGTTTGTTTTTACCTTTGGATTTTGATCTCATAGTCCAAATCCATATGAAATCTCACTCAGTCACTCTGATCTGATCATATTATTAACCCTTGGAAAACACTCATCTGAAAATTCGTCCAAAATTTGTATGATCGAATATGTTGTTCTGTTACTTGGTCATGTCTGTTCTAGTCTGTGAGCTGTTGAATATGTCTCAGATCCAAATCGAGTTTTGTTGGCTCTTCCAAGTGCCATTCTGTTTTCTCGACTATTTCGATTGTTTTTCTGTCTCCAGTGAAGATCTGAACTTTGTGTTCATAGCTGTCTCCAGTGAAGATCTGATGTTTTTGTTCATTGTTGAACTCTGATTTGTCGCTCTGTTCTTGCCTTATGTTTTTGAGGCTTGTTGATCCACCGCTGATTTCTATGCTTGTTGATCATGCAATCTAAGTATGCACTTGAAGATCCAATTGCTCATTTCTGCAATTGAGTATTCAAACTCCAGCTACTCTCTCTCATAGCATCTTGAGTTTGAGGGGGAGTATGAAAGGAAAGTATATTGTCTATCCGGTTAATATGGAAGGTGTATATTATAATATATGGGAATGTTAGATATAATATCCTGTATTTTATGGTAAGTCTGGGTATGGTTTAGGTGTGTGATTTATTTCTATTTTTATCATATGTAATTTGTCTATAAAAGACAAGTTTGTATATTCATATGTTTAATGGACATTAAGTCTCTTCAGAGAAACGTGAGACTCTTCACATAGCCGACCCCCAAATAGTTTGGAAAATGCTGATGATGATGATGATGGATTTGATTAATATTTAATATTACCTACAACACACATGCATATCACTACTTTATATGTACCTTGTACATATAAATACTAGGTTGGGTTGCATGCTGTTGACCCCAACTTGGACTTGACCTAACCAATAGGATATATATTGGACCAGGACGCAGACCCAACCCTGGCCAGTTCTTGGTCTAGGGGACCTAGACTCAACCTATTGGGTTTATTCTCTAGGTCTAGACTCATACCCAGTCAAGTCTACCCATCGGATCCATAGTTCAATTCGACCGTTCCCCACCCCTCATCCTATACCAAATGGATTTTGAGAAATGTCAACAAAATACTTCATTTTAAGCTAATCACTTCATTATTAATAAATTAGTTGACTAGACCACTTCAATTTCTTTTAGTAAGTTGAAAAATGGATCAGTGACCCTGTTCGGGCACAAAAAAAATTGGTCAGAGTCAACAAATCAGCAGTCTGGATCGCCGTACTATGCAGGAAAAACAGTAAACATGAAAAGAAACTAGCAAAAAAATAGTGATCCAGCCAAAAACCAGTCTGGATCAGTGAATCAGCGGTCCACATCTCCATTTATTGTAGAGAGTGTCGTTTTACATA